AGCGTCCGCCCCGGCTGCAGCCAGCCAGGCCGCTCCCAGAGGCTGCGACCACGCACAGATGCGTACCCCAAAGCTCTTTCAGCCATAGCAGACGCTTAAAGATCGAGTTAGTCGGATAATAAAAAACGTGCATTTGTGTAGCACCTTACAGTTTCCAAAAAGCCTTCATCATCTGATCCGTTTGTATTTCTTGTTTGGTTCTGCGGGAGTGGCCGGGGGGCTTTCCCTGACCTGAGTACCATGTTGGGTGGTTTTTGCAGTGAGAACCCTGGCTCCCGTGTTCCATTGCCAAGCCTCGTTCTCCCCACTGCATGGCAGGTCTCGGGGAAATGCCGAGTCTCCTCACAGGAGAACAGTAGCATGCCAGCCTTGGGTAGCTGCCTTTCACTACCGTTCATGTTTAAGATGTTCTCTTAGGAGGAGTGCTTGTGGGAGTAGCACATTAGACAGGGCCCTTCCCTGTAACAGTCTTCCAGTCAACATCCCACTTGTAGGAATGATATTTATGTGCAGGTGAGGGAAGGGCGGAAAGATATGCACAAAAGCACCTGGGCCGCCTTCTGAGACTCTTAGGCTCTTAGCATTAGACATCCAGACGCAGGGGGCTGGGATGGAAGGGAGTGGAAGGAGACAGACATCCTTCGAGGGGCAGATGTGGGTACAGGAGGCTGAGGCATGCTTCCCCTGAGACTGGGGGCTACTCTAGACTCCCCAGGAGTTCGCAGGCAATGCCTGAGTGGCCACAAGGCTGCTCCCCACAAAAGTGCCATCTCCATTAGGCCTGGAGTCCGGGAGAGAGCACAGCGTTCTGTCTGCCTGCCGTCCCTGGTGGCCCTCAGCCCCTCTGAGCACGTTCATTCTCCGTGGTGTTCTGATGCCACAGTCTGAGAGCTGGCAGCTGGGAGCACAGGGAACCCAGGGGGGTTAGGGCTGCGTGTTCCATGTTCCCCCTGGGGCACCCAGGTTTGCTGCTTGAGGCTAAGTTCTTCCCAGTCCGGTCCCTGAGAGGTGGGGATAGGAAGGCTCTGCTGGGCCAGGCAGAGGGAAGGCTCAGCTCTGTTGACAAGCAGGACCACCACCACCACTGTAGTCTGAGGGGCAGCCCTCCCCTCTCCCCAGCTTTCTGTGCTTCAAGAAGGAAATGAACAAATGGCAGGTGTGCAGGCCAAGTAGGGCTGCTCAAATTAGCTGTGTTGCTAAGGAAACAAGTCAACCATTGGAAGGAAGGAGCTTTGGGTAAAGGAGATAAATCAATAAGTGAACCTATTTTTATCATTTCCCTAATGATTGTCTTAGAGCTGCTAGACAGGAAAGAAAGTTGGAGCAACACAGGTCCTCATTAGCAGGCTCAGGGGGAGAGAGGAGTGAAGGGGTGTTGGGGGGAGGTTGCCAGGAAAGTTTATGAAATGAGGCGGGAGCAGCAGACAGAGACAGATAAGGGAGAGGAGGTATTTTTGCAAGTTTCAAAGCACTTTCAAGGCCATTCCCTCATTGCTCTGGTCCCTTGTTCTACTGTGTTTGATCCTCTGAGGAATCCTGTACTGATTTCCATGACCCTCAGGGTGGGGTGGGTTTTTGTATTCATTGTTTTCTTTTTCAGAATACATATCACTTTAATTGATTTTATAATCAGAAATTAATGCATGCTCATTTTAACACTCAGACAATGCATAAAGGAGTAAAGATGAAAGTGAAAATAACTCCACTACCCCAAGAAAACTCATTCTCCTTCTAGCAAGACAGATCTTTTTCCTTTGTCATTAAAAATTTTTTAACATAGATTGTGTGTGTGTGTGTGTGTGTGTGTGTTCAAATGGGTAAAAGTGTGGAGAACGTGCAGGGTACCTTTTGTGGACATACCTCAGGCTCTGGTTTTCCTGTGCTGTTGCTGAGTGCCCCCTGTGTGCTGGTCCCCAGTGGCACAGAGGTGAATAAGACAGGCAAAGCCCCTGTCCTAAGGCTTCCACACCTCGTTGCTTCGTTAGCTCTGTTTGTTCAAGATTTCAAACCTCAAATCACTGCGGACACCAGGGAGAGAGATTGTCCAAAATGTGTTTAGTGTCAGGCGCAGAATGGGATGGGAATCACTGAACCCCTGGGCAGAAGAAATCAGGGTCCCAGACAGATTTCCATCCACCTGTCCCAGGAAGGGCCGGTTCTTTGAGACCTTGGCAACTTGGAGCTTCCTTTGATCTTCCCAAGTCATACCTTTAGCCTGTGAGGTGCATTCACTTGACCTATGGGCCATTATTTGAGTCCAGGCTCTTCCCTTTGGAAATGTAGTAGAGGTTCTATCAGGCTTGAGGTTCTACCAGCAGGAGAGAGGGGAGTGGTGCCTCTGCGTCAGTCCCAGGGGTGGGGTTGAGCAGGAAACCCTGGCCTGAGCGATGAGCGACTACAACCCTGACTTGTGATGGCTCCTCAACAGAGTTTGCTGCTCCCCTTCATTTATGTCTGCCTTTAACATTGAGTGAGCTCCTACTATGTACCAGGAGTCCTGTAAGCACTGACAATGGAGAGATGGCCAAAACACTGTCCCTGTTTCAAGAGATAGTTGTTGTGTGTTTTTTATGTGTGTTTTTTTTTTTGGGGGGGGAGATAAATAGGAGAAATAATAAAATTGCACAATCAAAGAGCTATGGGCAGAGGGAGAAACCTTCACAGATAAGGTAACATTTCAGCTTGATCTTGACATATTACCGGAGAGAAGGAGAAAAGCCATTGTAGGAGGAAGCAAAAGCACCAAGTGCCCTCTCTCTGTGCTTTTTTCAGAAAGAGAAGTGGACAGGAGGATGGAGGAAGGGCTGTCAGGGAGAGGGGTGGGGCAGCCAGAACCTGATGTCCTCTCCTGCTGTCCTCACCTACGATTTCTCCTTCGCCGTCCTTTCATCTAGTCCACAGACATATGCCACACCCAGAGCCTGATCTTTCCTTCTGCATCAGTATCTCACCTTTTAATTGCCCCAGACATGAATTTATCCTGAGCTGTAGATGATCTATGAGGCCTAAAGGGAGGGCTCAAGGGTATGTGTATTTGGACAGTTTTCAAAATTGTTAGCCAAAGAATCACTGCTCTGAATGGGTCTTTAGATATCAGACCATAGACAGAGAGAGAGGATTGTGGGAATGGGGAAGGGACATGGAAATGAAGTCTTATCAGAAACTCTGAATTACCAAACTCTCACCCTTAGATTCTAGCCCCCGGGCCTTAGGTAGTGCCATTCATTGAGACCTCTTGAATTCTCAGCCATCCCGACGCCTGGCCAGTCACAGGGCGCCTGGCAAGAGCAGCGGGGCCCACAGCCGTCCTCCTGCCCTGAGCGCCCTGAGCACCTGCAGTGGTGATGCCACACCTTCCTGAGTCTAGCCCCATGTTTCTTGCTGAGCCTCATGCATCTGCACTTGGGCTTGGAGCTAGGTGAGTTGAAAGATCCTAGCAGGGAGCTGTACACTCATCTCATCTGACTAGGAAAATGCAGGTGTGTGAGTGGGAGCGAGGAGTGGAGGCTGCAGTGGAGCCGCAGCAATCCAGGTGGGCACTGCTGGGTGGAGGCCTTGGAGGCGGGCAGGTGCCAGGACCCGTCTCGCCTATAGGTCAGCAACTAAGAGCTCCTTTACGTGTAAGTCTCTGGTTATCACTTTAAGGTTTTCAGGGGACTTCAGTCAGACCAGTGAGAGACCGGGCACGCTCCCAGTCCCATTTCCCAGCCCCTGGCCTGGGCTCCTTGCTCGTGTGGAGCAGCTTTCCGAGTTTGCATGGGGCCTCGCCGGCCGCCAGCCGTGGTGAGCAGCCAGCTGAGCCCCACATTTTGTCAACACCCTGAGTGCTCATTGCCGTTGATGTTCATTGGCACCGAGGTCATGGCAGGGACAGGGAGGCATCATGTTAGGATTGGCCTCCTTCTGGCTCCTCAGAAAGGGCTCTGGGCCCTACCCCTTACATAGCCACCTTGGACGTGTCAGGGGACAAGGAGAGCAGTCCCTTCCCTTCCCTCCACTTTGCCAGATCGACGACTCCTCTCTCCCGCCCGGGATTTCAGAATCCGCCGGAGCATAGGTTGCTCGGCAAGACCAGTGGCAACAGCTGGCTTGTGTTTGTCACAACAATTGTTAAAGAATAAAATCCAACATGCAGAGTGACTCAACTCGGAGCCGGTGATCCCTCGCTCTCGCTTTGCTAACAGTCTCCACTCCGCCTCCCCTTGGGCTTGTGGCACAACCTTTCTGCGGGAGTCGGGATGCTGGCACCAGACTCATAGTGCTGCTTTTTCTAAAAGGCCCAGGCGGCCCCCTCACTTGTCTTTAGAAAAATGCAGCAGGAAAAAACTCCGCTGACCATTCATTGGCCGTTGTGTTCCTCGAGGCCCCGGCTTTGCTGTCCTGGATTCAGACTCATGATCTGTCTGTTTTCTGTGGGGAGAATAAGGCAGGGGCAAAGCAAGCTTCTCCTGGCCCCTTTACATGTGCTTCTGGATTGGCTGTTAACACAGAAGAGAGCTCACATGGAGCGAGTTCCTCTTCCAAGAGCCCTCCTACTCAGGCGCACAGAGGTCCTAGAGGAGGGTCCATTGTGACTCCCAGAGGCAGCAGCAGCCACAGCTGTGTCCTCGCCAGCGGTTTGCAGAGCTGGAAGAAAAGGGGTCTGCATGGCGTCAGTGACTCTTCCTCCCTCTTTCCTTCCGTGTTCGGTTCTAGTTAATTCCGGGATGTGTTCTCGAATCCACTACGGAACTGGAGAGCACCTTATGTCCAACTGTATTATTTTATTGGCTCCACATTTTTTTTTCTTGGAGAAGATGCTTTGTGTTCAGCACCCGATCAGAAATGGTTCTAGTTTCCTGGGCTAAGGACCACCCGCCGTCCTGTGCGCTAGAGTGGGGCACGCAGACCGCACAGACACCCTGGGGGTTGATCAGGTTAGTGTGTTTATGTGCACAGCCATCGAGGAGGCTGCGCCGCTCTCTCTTTGGTGAATCTGCTCCTTAACTCCTCCTTCCCACGCCGTTTGAGTACATGATCCTGGCCACCATCATTGCCAACTGCATCGTCTTGGCCCTGGAGCAGCATCTTCCTGAGGATGACAAGACCCCGATGTCCCGCAGACTGGTATGTGCCTGCCTCCTCTCGCCTCTTTCCCCCTCCTCTTCTCCGGTTCCCTTCTCCTTTGCTCCATCACCCGGCCCTTTCCCTCCTCTCTGACCTCCAGGGCTAGGAGGAGCCCCATTGGGATACATTAGGGCAAAATGACTGACCTTTCAGACTCCTGCTCCCAGCAAGTTCTGAGGGCATTGCAGACGCCGTGTGCACACCCCACGGCGGCCAGACAAGAAGAAAGGGCGGGGACAGGATCCAGCCCCTTCCTTCCCTTCCTAAGGGATTGTGAAGTGACGTGAGCAAGGGAGGTCAAGGGGAGAAGATGAAGGACGCTCACAGCCCCTGTCCTCCAGCCCCCTCGCTTCCCACCTGTGCAGGTGTCCCATAGGAGAGAGGAGAGGCCAGAGCAGAGCGGAGGCGTGCCCTCGCCTGCCTCCCTCTCCTCTCGAAGCACAGTCCTCCGCTGACCGGCACCTCTGCTCCTCATCCCATAGGAGAAGACAGAACCCTATTTCATTGGGATCTTTTGCTTTGAAGCTGGGATCAAGATCGTGGCCCTGGGGTTCATCTTCCACAAGGGCTCATACCTCCGCAACGGCTGGAACGTCATGGACTTCATCGTGGTTCTCAGCGGGTGAGTCCTCTGGTCTCTTCTTGGTGTTGGGGGCTGCGGTGTCCTGAAGTGGCTGATGCAGCAAACCCCGGGGTGGCGGTGGGTGGGACAGGAAGTGCAGAGGGAGAAGTTTGAGGATAACATTCTCCCATGGGGCTGGGCCACAGACGACCACCTGCAGGGGAGTGCGTGTCCTCTGCGCAGGTGCAGGTGGCAGTCCGCGGAGCCGCGGAGCCATGGAGTCAAGGTCGGGCTGCCGCTGCTTCTGACTTCCCACCTGTGCTCGGCTAGTGCTGAGCACGTGTCCCGGCTGGTCTTAGCCTGAGGGGCACCCCCAAAAGATGCGCCCAAAGATGCATCAGGTGCAGTTTTCTTTCAGAGATTGGAGAAGACCCCAACCATATCTTCCGAACTGATCAATGAGACGCCTGTTCTGACGACAGTTTTTTATGATTTGCAGATTTTTCAACAGGAGGAGGCATAACATTGAGTCCCACTAATGTTTGATAAATCATTCCTTTGGAAATTAATATAGCATTGCCACACTGCAGCTGACCCAGAGTCATGGGCGGCACATTTATTTAAGTATCTGACAGATCATCTTTCCTGTGGAAATGAATAGAGCATGCCTGCACTGGGGCCGATCCAACCCCATTGGCAGCTTAGGTGATGGGCTTTGGTTGGGGGGTGAGGGCTGTGCCTCATTTGGCTTCTGTGGTTTCCTGTTGGTCTTTGTGGCAGGTGGTTCTTGGTGCCTGCAAGGGTGGGGCAAGCCCGGCCCTTGGGGGAGCCATGTCCCCTGCGGGTGTGGCAGCTAGAGACGGGGCATAGAAGTCCTCTTATCCAGGGTCTAGCAGACGGTAGTTCACACCTGTGAGGGAAAGAAGAAAATGGAGTAGAAACGTGGAGGGGAGAAATAGGAGCCCCCATTTTGATAAACCAAAAGGGGAAGGGGGGCAGAGTAGAAATTTCTTCCAGGGAATAGCCAGGGGCCTCGGGGGTGGGGGGCAAAGCTGAGAGAGGTAAGACCTTGGAAATGTTTGCATGTATCCATTTTCCCCCGGAATAGACATAATACTCCTATTTTTAACCTTCACACCAATTGCAATAAAATGATCAGGTTGAAGGTGCAATGGACTGGAATTTACAAATGGAAGCTCGTAGGCAGCCAGCTCAATACAGGGGACAGATACATAGACAGAGATGATTATTTATGTTGGGAAAACACCTGTTGCCTTACAAAAGGATTTTCTGAAGGTTATTTTTCTAAAAGAAAATTCTGCTGCATTTAAGATACGTTGGTGTATAAAGATACAATTTATACATAGTGTTTCAGAAGTACATGGTCATAGAAAATGCAGCGTTCCTGGGCGATGTTTTATTATTTAGTTTTTCCAGCTTTGTTGGGATGTGATTGACAAACAAAAATTGTATATAGTTAAGATGTACCATGTGATGTTTTGATATACGAATGCATTGTGAAATGATTACCACAATCCAACTAATTAACATATCCATCTCCTTACCTCGTTACCTTTTGTGTGTGTGTGGGGGGGGGGCGGGTTGGTGAGAACACTTGATATCGCTCTCTTGGCAAATCTCAAGTATAAAATACATGATTATTAACTATGTCACCATGCTGTACACTAGGTCTCCAGAATGTACTCATCTATAGGTGAAAGTTTGCACCCTTTAATCGGTATCTCCCCTTTTCCCACGCTCCAGCCCCTGGTAACCACCATTCTTTTCCCTGGTACTCTAAGTTTGATTGTTTTTTTTTTTCAACTTTACTTACAAGTGAGATATGAAAGTTTGCACCCTTTAATCGGTATCTCCCCTTTTCTCACACTCCAGCCCCTGCTAACCACCATTCTTTTCCCAGGTACTCTAAGTTTGATTGTGTGTTTTTTTCCAACTTTACATACAAGTGAGATCGTATTGGACTTTGTCTTTCTGTGTCTGGCTTATTTCTTAGTATAATGTCCTCCAGGTTTATCCATGTGGTCACCAATGGCAGGACTTCCTTCTTTTTTAGGGCTGAATAATATTCCATGGTGTGTGTACTGTACACACACACACACACACACACACACACACACACACACACACACACACACACACACACACACACCACATTCTTAATCCGTTTTTCTGTTCACAGACACCTAGACTATTCCAGCATCTTGGTTATTGTGCATAATGCTGAAATGAATATGAGAGTGCAGATGGGTCTTTTCAAGACAGTGATTTTATTTCCCTCAGATATGTACTCAGAAGTGGAGTTGCTGGTCATATGGTAGTTCTATTCAGTGAGGAGCCTCCATACTGTTTTCCATAGGGGCTGCACTAATTTCCATTTCCATCCACATAGTGCACAAGGGTTCCCCTTTCTCCATAACCTCACCAACACTTATTATTTTTTTTTTACTTTTTGATGATAGCTGGGTGATAAATGTTCCTAAAACCAATAATATATGCTATATAAGTGAAAGGCATAGATGAGAATCTCAGTTACTAAGAAGAGTGATTCTGTGTAGAAGAAAAGTACTGAGACGTGTATGTATTATATGTTAAGATCGTGTGAAGCCTTGGTCTCCCCAAGAAGCATCTGTCAGATGCCATGTGGAATTTCCCATCTCATCTATTTACTTGTGTTTTAAACTATTACATGTTCATTAAAGAAAATACAGAAAAGTCAAAAGAAGGAAAAAACAATTCACGTTTAAGAAAAATTCCTGATTGTTTAGTGGTATTTCCTCCCAGCGCTTGAATGCTAAGCAAGCTCCCTTTTCAGTGCTTGCACTTTTGCTGCCTGTTCTCAATATAGTAAGAGCCTCTTATATGTTACTCCTTATTGTCATTAAAATCTGTACTGAGTGATCAGCATTTTGTTAAGTAGATAGACACAGCGTATTTCTCCATTTTTGCAGTTATTTGACACTTAGATTGGTATTACAGATAATTATTCCGGATGCTCCAACGTATGTGGTTTGGATGTCACGCTTTAAGAGGCATTGTGACAGGTTGAAGTGCTTCTAAAGGCGAGCCTGTTTTCTGCACAGGGTCTGGGACTAGGGTGTGTGAGGCAAGGTGGAGGGCAGACAGGCGGGAGCCCAGCACTGCCTTTGAATAAGGGTTGCCGTGTGGCCGGAGGAGCAGATTTGGGGGGTCAGCAGGGTCCTTCCGTTAGCCTGGCCAAGAAGGTCCTCTGTGTCCTCACCTGCACGCCTGGGGCGCAGGTGCTGAGCCCTCGGCCAAGTCACTTGTCCCCTCTGTTCTCTCTCCACCCAGACCTCACGTCTCTCATTCTTAGTGGCTCTTCAGACGTTGCTGAAAGGCCACTGCTGTCCACCTGAGCCAGTGGCACTTCGCCCTGTTCTTCCTGCACCTACTGACTTCTGTCTCCTTAGCTCACATGTGAACGTGCTCTAGGGGAAGGGCTTGGCGTCTAGAGATGGGCAGTGAGGCTGCGGTTCTATCCCACGGGGCCGGGTGATCAGATCCGGTCTTAGTGTACCCGGTGCTGCTGTCCACCACAGTGCCTCTCAGGCTCACATTTCTCAGGCTGCAACATCTCTGAAACCAGCCTGTCGCACAGTGATGGCATGATGGAGTTTAACTGATGGCATTTCTCTTTCTTCCTTCGTGGTACATAAAATCATGGGGCATTGTATAGCCGTTGGGGTCTGGGATGCGTGAAATGCGTGGTGATACCGACCCGGGGAGGTGGCAGAGCAGGCCTGGGAATCGAGTCACCTGGTGCTCGGAGAGGTGAAGTGCGCCGCCCAAGACCACCTGCCTCTTGACAGCAGGTCCAGGGGTTGCCATTGTGCCTCGTGACCCAGGGCTGGTGCATTCACCCCTGCCCCGTGCAGCCCCCCTTCCAGGCTGCCTGACACCACCCGCACAGCTGTCCCTGCTGGCAGCTCTGACTTCCCACCTCAGCATCAGGCGTCACCTCCCATTTTCCTCCAGTGCACAAGAGGAGTGACAGGTGCCGGAGTGCGACACAGCGCCTCGGGCTCCGGCTGCACGGCTTCTCAGCTCTCGGTGTGTGACTGGAGCGGAAGGAGGGCGGGGGTGCTGAGGTGTCACACAGCTGGCTCAGTGAAAAGCCTCTGTCGCTGACCTTTGCTAAGATGCTAAGAGATGGGGCACTGTCAGAGCACGCAGGAGCACCGCACGGCTCCGCTGGGCTGACTGGGTTTGAGTCCATGTCTTCTTCTAAATTCTCCCATGTTAGGTGCCTCGTTAGTGCAGTAGGTAGCGCGTCAGTCTCATAAATTCTCCCATGTTACTACGCCAAGCACAGGGCAGGTTCCTTCTCGGTTCCTGCCTATCCAGGCACCTGGGCCGCCACATTCTGCCTTCACCTCTGACCTTTTAACCTTTAGTATTCTCAGGTCTGGAAGTTATGGGGAGTTCATGGTGTGAAAGTTAATTTGTGTACATTATTCATCCAGTCCTCATAATCCCCCCAATGAGATCTTGTTATTTTATAGATGAAGAAACTGAGGTTCAGAGAGGATCTGTGACCCACTGGGAGGCGGGTACTGGCTCGGGCCCCAAGCTCCTTCTTCGACACTCATGTTCCCACCGGCAGTCATCTCGCAGTTTTATGGGCTTCGTGGTCTGTAGCTCCTTGAATGCACATTCCTTCCTCCCCTTGGAGCATGTGGGGTGGGCTTAGGAGGAGTGTAATCAGACAGTTGCCCCTGGCCCAAAGCTGAGGCTCATGGTGACTTGAAGGGGACCAGGGCCCCAGATATCTCTCTGTGTTCTGGGAATACAGCTTTCTGGCCTGTGGTTAAGAAGGCCCATAACTCGCGTGGCTTGATGCATAAAGACTGGATCGGAAGTTGCAGCTTGTTTCTTCATGAATTGTCTTGTTCATTCACTCATTTATCAATCCATCCAACCATCCATCCATCCATCCAACCATCCATCCATCCATCCATCCATCCATCCATCCATCCATCCATTTAACAAAACTTGTGTTGTTGAGTACTCAAGCAACTGCT